CCCTAAATACTAAAGCAGGATGGTTTCCAGTGGCTCTGTCTTTGATAATTTCAACGGTGTCAAAATAGTCGCAGTACATGCTACAAAGTCAGTGTCAGTTTGAATTTTTGACTGATCATCTAATGTTTGCATCCTTTTACTTCAACAATAAGGTGAATATTTTGCAGTCAAATACAGATTGGTTATCACTTGGCTCCAAATAGGTGTAACCCTGGATTTTCACACAAGGTTTGGGGGAGATGTTTAAACTGGGGAGGTGGCCAACTGCAAGGATATTACTTTAGTACTATAGCATGTGTACACACATTTAGACATGGGTAATCATTCTTTTCACTTCTTCAGACATGTGGTGCTATATTCTCTGTGTGAATGCCAAGACAGGTGAATTTTGTGTGAGGATATTAAAAAATGTCTCCAAATTCATTGCTTCTTGTTAGGATGAAATTGGAAGATGACACAGTGCAAATTGTCAACACAAGCCTAGAGGGAGTATATTGTTTCTATCTTAATTATATCTATAGGATGAATAGAGGGGTCATGAAAGAAGAAAGTAGCTCCATGCCATTCCCCAAGTGTGAGTTCAGACGATAAGGGGAGGGGTTAATGAGTGCTAGCCAGTTTTGTTTCCTCTTCTGTGGGAAGAGTTTCCCATAGTTGACTGTGAAAAGGGATCCAGAAACAAGAGACTTCTCTCAGCTATCCAAGGCTGACCTGAAGTTCCGCATTCTATGATGGCTTTTCCACCTGCAGCAGTCTTACCAAGTTTTACCTTGCCTATGTAGGTCATGTTTTCTTAATTCAGTCATTCTTTCCTCTAGCAAGAATTTATTTAGTTCCATATTTGTGCCACGCACTGTCTAGGAGCTGAGGATATAACTAGGGAGGGATACAATCCTGACCCTTGTACTCATGGAGTGAGGAGATAGCCATTAAATAAGTGGCTGTATGGGTTATGAAAGGGGATGTAGTAGGCACTTGGGGAACCTACAATACAGAGATTGAATGTCATCTGTAAAATTGAAAGACTCTAGAGAATGAGTGGCTACTAACACCCACCTACAAAGCCTAGGAGGATTGGACCTCATGAAACTCATCTACCCTCCCACCTAGATCAGTGTAGTGAATGTCCTAACTTGCCTTTTCTGCATCCACTTCATCCCTTCCTCATTTTATAGCAGCCAAGTGTGTCAGGTAAGACTGACAGGAACCCAGTTCAAGTGGTAGCCTTCCTCTGGCATGGTAATTAGTTCAGCAGTATCACATGACCTGGGCTGACTTATCTGAGAAACCCCGGGGTTTTGCTCCAAGGGCAAGATGACCATATGATGCTGTGGGAAGATATGAAGCTGGGGACCACTTGCTATCACCAGACAAGCAGCCAGGTCTCCTCCCTCACCTGACCCCCAGTGTCCTTTGTACCTCACATTTTTGTTTGTGCTTTATCCTTCTCTCTGCCCATCCAAATCATATTCAAGACCTATAAAACCTAGTTCAAAGCCCTTCCCTGAACAAGTCTCCACCTCTTTCACCACACCTACCCCCCGAAATTCCACCACAAATGTCACTTCTTTTTCCATTTTAAATTCCCCAGAAGGAGTTATTCTCCTGGATGATGATTGGACATACCATTTGTAGACCAATAATTGGTCTACAGGCATTAGGTTCCAGATTACCTGGTGGTAGGCTCTGGGATTGCACCCAGGGAGGGGCGGGGATGGCCTCTCCTGCCAGGCAGCATGGAACAGTGTAAAGAGGTGGTGCTCTGGCCTAACTGGGAGTCAGAAAACCTGGGTTCATTCTGGTTCCTCTGTAATAAGCAACAAACACTTGGTGTCACTCCTTAGCTCATAAACTGGTTTAAAGGGCATCACGTTTTTATCCTCAAAGTAACTCCATTAGATAGAGGTTAATTAAGCTCCATTTTATGGATGAGGACACTGGGGCTCCAAGATGCTGAATGATTTCCCCAAAGTCCCAAATTGGGAAGTGGTAGATGTGGGATGAGAAGCTGGTTGGTTCTTTTGTGTCGGAGGCTTGCATTCTTTCTACTACTGCCTTGTTATTTACCACTTTGAGTTATAATGTTGAGTTGAGTGAGAGTCTCAACTCTCAAAGAGAAAAATAATCTTTATTTGCCAGGACTTGGGGTGGATGAAAGGTGAATATGGATTTGAAAGCATTTTGAGAAGTACAGAGCCTTCCACCACACAGTAGGAGGTGGGAGGGAAGGGCGAGGAGCAGTGTTATGAAACAGGCCTTGAGAAGGCTTCTCATTTTTAATTCTCATTTCCTCAAGGATGGCTAGAAGTGAGAAACAGATTTCCCAAAACTTCTCTGGATGGCTTCTCAGCAGGATGAGCTTTTCAGAAGGTGGTGTGGAACCTAATGCCTATAGACCATTCACCGGCTAATTCACAGCAAAACACTATGTCCAGTCACCATGCATGGTGAGATCTCCTGCAGCAAGCATTCCCTGCCAACCTGCCTTTGGAGGTGGAGGGAGCTGGAGCAGGAGACCTTCTGTCTTCTGTCCTGGCCGAGACTCAGATATTTTGGAATCAAAAGAGTCAACCCTAAGATGCCCTTCATAACAGGAAAGTAAACAGCTCCTCCCCTTTGCCACCTCCTTTTCCTCTGGGTTATCACCTCCTCCCTTTCACCTGCTCCCCCACAAGACTCAAGAGTTGAGTGGAGGGAAGGAGCTAGATTAAGAGGAAGGGACATTATCAGTACAGCCAGAATTAAGGGATGGTACCAAGGAGGAAGACTTCAAGGTAGGGGAGGATGTAAAGCTCACCTCCTGCTTGCTGGCGTGGTCCCCAAGCATCTGTCCCAGGATGCAGTGCCCCCATTAGAATGTACCAGCATATCGTAGCATCCTCTTCATGGAAACCAGAGCATCTTAGAGCTGGGAGAGGTCTTAGGGACTACTTAGTCCCATCCCACTTCACAATGAGGAGACTGATGCTCCAAGGGTCATGGTGACATGCTCTAAGTCAGTGGAGCCAGGACTCCTAAGGCAGGGCTTCCCAAGCTATGCCCCCAACACCCCTGAGATCTGTAGCACTGCCTCAGTGTGTTTCTGAAGAGCTTAAGAGGGAGTAGGGGGAGATGAGTGAGGGGCAGAGCAGTAGGGAACTTGAATGTGAATGTGGCGGTTTAGGGCTGGAGTATTGGCAAAGGCATGTGGCATATTGGGAGGTTTGCAAACCTTTGTTCCATGTGTATCAGTCTTGGCACTGATTTAAAATTCTCTTTCTGTGGTACATTAATTAAGGGGAAGTTGGGTAAGGAGCAGTAGATTCCAAAATTGGTTTTTTCTTTCTTAAGCAGGAGTTTGCTTTTATGAAACGAAATCTTATGCAGAATCGAACATGTAAATTACTGTATAGAGTCAAAGCCTCCCTGATGGAAGAGGAGTCCCTAAGCCTCCGCCCCATCACCCCTTCCCATCTCTCACCCCCTATACTTTCTTTTTTTTTTTTAAGATTTTATTTATTTATTTGACAGAGAGAGAATGAGAGAGAGAGCACATGAGAAGGGGGAGGG